AATTTTATTAGCTTATTATTTGTTTTTATTGTTTACTGCTTCAAAGCCTTGTAGAAAAGAAGCAGAGTACAAAGAAGTAAATAACACACGAGCTCTTTATAGTTACAGGTTCCTTTCTTACATTTTAGTTTTGCCTTCTCTGTACGTTGGTCCCTTTCATTTCTTAGAATCTTTAATGTTGAAGTCCCACAGGGCTCTGCCCTCAGATCTTAACTCTCACTGGTGTTGGCTCAATTCCTGCAGAATCAGCAATATTCACATGGCTATAAACTATATTTTTAGAGCTGAACATGGTGATGCATGCTTGTAATGCCAGCACTTGGGAGGCTGAGGCAGGAAGATTTCTGTGAGTTCAAGGCCAACCTGGGTTCCATAGCTGCTAGGCCCTGTCTCAAAAACAAACAAACAAACAAACAAACAAAATTCTGTACTTTTGCCATTCATCCATCCACCTATCCATTTACAAAAGTAGACATAATAAGATAGCAAACCCCAACTATCCATCATCAAACTTCAATTATCATCTTTTGACCAATTCTTTCTCATCCATATTCTTTTACCTGCTAGGTTATTTTGAAGCATATCCAAGTCCTGTTGGCATGGTGGTACACATACCTGTAATCCCAGGACTCTAGGAGGCAGAAGCAGAAAGACCAAAAAGTTAGGACCACCGTGGGCAAAGTGGTGACATAATGAGACTCTATCTCAAAATAAAACATGTAACAGGGCTAGGGATGTAGCTCAGTGTGAAGGCCTAGGTTGAGTCTTCGGTACTGAAAAGAAAAAAAAGGCACAATTAGAGGCTCTCTACATCAAAGCATGCTTTGGTTGGGTACATACAAGAATGACCTGTTTTTCCTCAGCAGTGTGGCTTCTCAAATAGCATCATGCCTCCTCAACATGCCAGCATTCTCATAGACCTGCAGTGAGAAACCTTTGAGCTTCCAAGGATCCCAGCAGCCTGCAGCAGGACACGTGCCACAGGGTCGCCACCTCCGACCCAGACCGACGGCAGCACCAGCAACGTGGAAGTTTTTACAAGACGGTAAAGTCGTAAGGGAAAACAAATGGAGTATTATTTTTAGCTGTATTTTTATTTCTTTTGTCTTGAGTTTTACTTTATTGATGTTTTATTAGTACATGTTTGCAGAACATAATGATTAAATGAGTGTATGTGTATGTAACTAATCTTTTAAAAAATCTTTTCTTTTTTTTTTTCGTGAGGCAGGGTTTGGTGATGCTGTTCAGGCTGGCCTTGAATTAGCTCACTTTGAAGCCCAGGCTGGCCTCAAACTTGCAGTGATCCTGCCTCCTGAGTGAGTGCTGGGACTACAGTTGTACATTTGCCTGTAACACATATTAATTCTTTCTTTTCTCACTCTCTACCACTGGCACTCCATTCCTTACAAATCTTGGTCCCCTTTCCAGTCGCTAATGCTCTATTTTTATCATTCCCTGCCGTTCTTTCTTTTTTTTTCCTTTACTCCTGGCCCCTCACCCCTTCCTCTATCTCTTGTCCCTCCCTCTATCTGAAAAAGATATCCCTACTTCCTATTTGTCTGTCTTCTGTTTTGCTCTTTTTAAAGTAATATTTTCAGTAAAAAAGAGAAAATGTTTGTGGTGGTGCATGCCTATAATCTCAGACTCTGGGAGGCTGAGGAAAAAAGAATCATAAATCCAAGCCCAGCCTCAGTGATTTAGCCACTTAGTGAGACATTGTTTCACAATAAAAAATTAAAAAGTTGCCTGGGAATATAGCTTCATGGGAAGGTCCCAGGTTTAAATCCCGGTAACACACACACGCATGTGCAGAGGACATGTTGAACATCCTATATATTTATATGAATCTGTCACAACTTGATTCCGAAATAGGACTATAAGTGTTTCTAGATTTTTGTAGCAATATGTGAGGGTGTTGGTTCATAGTTTAGATCTGAATGTCCCTCCAAGTTTCATGTGTTCAGAAGTGGGCTTTTGCAAGGTGACAGTGGGAGCCAGTTGACTATGGACTGAATCCCCACCTCGATGAGCCATGTTAAACCTCTCCTAACTTGCGGGTATTTTGTCCTAGTGATGAGAAAGCTGACTAAGACTGAGTTGGAGGACCCTGTGGTGACAAGAACTTGCAACAGAAGCTGCCATGTAGAAACACTCATTTAAATAATAATGATGATATTAGCGTATTTAGTTCTTAACATGTGCGCAGCACTGTGCTAGATGTTTAACACGTATTAACTCATTTAATCTTTACAACTCTCTACTGTAGGCATGATCGTGATGAATTCTTGAAGACTAGGAAATTCAATGTCCATGCTCCTGCCACCATCCTGTGTTTCCCATCAAAAGCCAAAGGAATAATTATAGCAAATATTTTTTCAAATACTGAGCTATTTAAGTGCTCCCTTTATAATTCATTGTGAAAAAAATCCATGATATCAATGACATTTTTAGCCAGTCATGTTTTCCCCTAAGATACACCTAACATAAATCTATGGTTTTTAATCAAAACAATATATTTATCCACATTCTATTCCAGAGGATCCTGTCTGCTACAATCTTGCACACATTGAATTGTTGTGTATATTACAGCAAAGTGGAAATAAATGGATAAGATGTCAGAATGTGGCCTTACGTAAAATACATTGTAGAGTCAGTTTGGTGAATGCAGTGTTATGGACATAGAGATGAGAAGTTTGAAATAAACTAATTAAGTAACAAGGCTTTCAAACAACTGGATCCTAGGATGCATGCCTCTAAGTGGGGAGTATTCTTCATGGGTTTTTCCCCCAAAGTTCTTAGTATTTCCTGATAGTAAGCATATGCCGTGAGCAAAACACAGTCTTTGTTCTCAAATATTCCACAGTCTATCTAGCTAGATTAGGGCTGCATATGCTTTAAAGCAACGTGATGTTCAGATAGAGAGAGTTAAACAAGCCTTAAGTAGGCAAAATTCTTAGTAGACTGGAAATATCAGAGAAGGTTTATTTATGGCTTTTGAAAAGATAGAGAAAGAGAGGCAGAGATACAGACAGAAGAGAGAGTAGAGAGGCAGAGAGACAGAAACAGAGAGAGACAGAGACAAAGACAGAGGAGAGAGATATCTGAAGCTGACAGAAAAAAGGAAAGGAAAACTTTGAGAGTATTAGCCATTTGCACAGTGAAGAAAATGAAATTAGAGTATTTCTACTAGTCTCTGCAGAAACTGTATGCATACTTGGTATTTTCTGTTTCCATAGCTCACGCTCCCTTGACTATGCCCTAATATTTTCACATGAATGACTTGTAGTTGGTGCCTGAACTTGTTTACTGTAGGATTCAAACAGATCTGGGCGTGTCTTGAGGAAAAGTGGCCTTGGTCACCAGAATTCTAATACAATATGACAGTTAAACGCAGGGCATTTGGAGTACAAATTACTGGAAAGTAGAGCAGTCATATTTCAAGATTTTGAAGGTTAGATTTTTAAAATGTAGTTTTTCATAATTTCCTGCATTTATTTATTATCTTAGTTACTTTTGTCATTGCTGGGACAAAATACCCAACACCCACAGGTTAGGGGAGGGGAGGTTTATTTGGTTCACAGTTTGTGGGGGTTTCAGTTCATAATCAGTTAGCTCCAAGGCAGGGCAGCATGGTAGACAGGCATCAAAGAGGAGAAACAGTTCATGGTGGGCAAAAGGTAACAAAGCAAGCAAGTGAGGGAACTTAATAGCTTCTGTCTGCCCCTTTTATGTTGTATCAAGGCTACTGAGCTTAGGGCAATGACAAATCAATCAGTAGACTGACTTAGTAATCACACATCTTCAGTCCCAGCATCACATGCTCGAGACCCAGCCACCTCTGAGAAAGCCCCACCTGTTTGAGGTTTTGGTGGGACATCTAGACACAAGCCATAACATTCTTCAACCTATTTATACTCACAAGAGTCCTGGAAATAAAGATCTTAAAAAGCGCATACTTAATTTAATAATTAAGTATTGACTTTCCAGTGAAATTGTACTCAAATATACTGATTTGTAATATACAGTTGTACAAGGGATCTCTGTACAATACATCATTGTATAAACTATGACTTTTTCATTTTAAACAAATGAATGTTTTCCTAAATTAACTTTGAACATTTTTTATTTACAAGTTTTAACTGATACATAAATCTTACACATATCGATGGGCTACAACATGATAATTTAATACATGCATACACTGTGTAATCAAGGCAGCATAATTAGCATTTCCATATCCTCAAGCATTTATCATTTTGTATGTGTGTTGGGAAACTCTGAGCTCCACTGTTTTTGAAGTTCATTCATTTTTTATTTCTTCTTTTTTGTGATTCTGGAGATGAACCCACAGCCTCACGCATGGTAGATGAGTGCTCTATCACTGACCTACTTCCCTGGTCCTTTTCCAGTTCTCTATAAAGTATACAATGAACTGTTGTAAAGTGCTGCCACTCCTTGTGTGGCAGAGAAGCATAACTTACTCTATCTAAATGTATGTTGTTGCCCTTTAGCCAACCTCCCTCTATCCTGTCCTTTCCCACCTTCTATTTTCTAGTGATTGCCAGTCTACTCCTGTGAGATCAAATTTTGTAGTTTCCACATAGAGGTGAGAACATCACTTTCTGTGTCTGGTGTATGTCACTTAATGTCCTACAGTTCCACCCGTATGGTCACAAATGACAAGATTTCTTTTTGTTTTTGGCTGAATGGTCTCTCGTTCATGCACACCATATTTTCTTCATCCATTAATCCATCAGTGTATGAATTGGTTGATCCTATCTGATGCCTGTTATAACAGTGTGGGGACCAGATCTGGTTCTGAGTCTAACACTTGTCATCTGTGTGATCCTGGGCATTTAGTTTCTGGACACCTCTCTTCTCATCTGTAAAATGGCAACACAATCTATTCTGAGAGCAGTTTTAAGGGTTAAATTAGGTCGTGTGCATGTAGAACATATTCTCCGAACAGGAACCTCACAGGAAATGATTGTCAAGTGAGAAGAGAAGGTTCACAATGCTGAAATTCACAGGCTTGGCTTGGGGGAACATCAGTCACAGTTCAGTGCTGGCTCCTTGCATTCAGGACCAAATCTCAGGATGAGGAGGCACCAATGAGCAATACATGGAAACCACAGAAGCAGAGCGAGGGCACAAAATAGCTGGCCAGTGGTACCGGCACCACAGAGGACAGACACTCTGCACAGAACAGGTCACCTTCTCTCAGCTGGCAGTTCATGTGGACTTCAATGCCCTGCAGTCACAGTGTGGGTGCTCAGGGTGGGGCAGCAGAGAAAGACTTCTTTACAAGAGCTCATTTTGGAATAGGAGTCATCACCATCAGGAGCTAGAGCAGAATAGAGCACCTTCCAGGGGCCTTGGAAGGACACATTCCTCGCTTGGGGAAGCTCAGCTTTCTAGAGGACCTGCTGGGACAGACCAGGTGAGTTTCTCATGTCTCACTGTTATGGTGACCTTTCCTCTCTTGGGCAGGTGTGTTCTGTGGAAACACTTTCCACTTAGGGAAGAGTAGAAGAGGCTGAATTAAGGTGATTTTTTCCTAATAATAGAAATGAATAAATAGGTGGCAAATATTTAGTCAAGATAAGTACCACAATCAATATCCAGCAACACATGGCTGACAGTATGATTTTGATCATAATTTTCTGGGTATAAGACTGTGAGACATCAACTTGAATTAAGGGATAGAGATTTTCATTTAACTGCTCAGTGTGTTCTACTGCAGGACAAAGGAAACACTGGCTATTATTAAGAAAGCTGCTAGAATGGTAAAAGAAAGCATAGTTTTCTCTTAGGGAGAAAATGATGGTGTGTTTTGGGGTAGTGTACTCAAGGAAGATAGAGAAAACTAAAATCAAAATTAGAGGACAGAGAACATCCATTTAAAGGCAGATTTGCAAGATGAAGTAGAAAAGACCCTGAAGGAAACAGCATCATGGTTTGTGACACCATGCAGGCTGTGGATGGGAGGAAGGTGGACTTGTGCATCACACCCTCAGTAGGTGAATCCTAAAACTTCAAAAAGTTCGTTCAGAGTGAGTAAAGAGATGGTCTACTCTAACACATGGATGCTATGTATATGTAATTCAACCTGAAAGAATGAACAAGTTGTAAATTTAAACAGAAAGTTTAAAGTTCAGAAGTGTCATAGTCAATTTATGATGTACTTGTAGTTAACATTTTATAAGTTTTTGGCAGCTCTGGGAATTAAGCCTAGATCCTTCACACTGAGCTACATCCTTAGCCCCTCCCTGCCCATTTATTTTGAGTCAGGATCTTGCTAAATTCCCCATGTGGGCCTCGAACTTGCCACTCTCATGCCTCATCTGCCTGGAGTGCTGGGATTACAGGTGTGTACCACTACCTCCAGTGTTTAGTTAACATTTTATCAGCTGGAGTGTTTTCCAAAATTTTCCAAATTAACAGTCGCAGAACTCTCCTGGTTCTTAGATGGAATTGAAGTACTGTATTGATTCGCATTTTTTTCTATCTTTTGAGAGAAGTAAAATTACTTTTTGACAGTTTTCTGGCTTATACATCAGTGGCTAAGAATCTGAGCTCTGATTTCTGACTTTCATTTTAGGCCAGCTAGAAGAAACAGTGCCTATAATTAATGAGAATATTGTTGGCATTTTGAATTATAAGTGTTAACAATGCTAAGGATAATAGACTTGGAGTTTTAAGTAGAACCATCATTTTTTAAATAAAGGAAAGCAGCTTATTTTTAGGTAAATCATAAACAGCTTAATAAATAATTCTCATTGTGGTATTTTAGTTGTGAATACACAGAGGGCTTCACCTATCATTAATGCTCTAGTATGAGCTTTACATAACAGTAACAAAACCCAAGCCTAATTAGTCTCTTCTGGTAAAAGTATCTGAGAAATTTTCCATTGCCCAATACCTTCCCATAATGGAAAATGCGCTGCTCTGGAGGTATGTGTAAATATTTGATTCGAGGTTTACTGATTTCCATGTCAGAAGCTATCAATCATTAACACTTCAAAAACATACACCTGGTTAGTTGTTGCCAAAAAACATTCCTTCTTTCACGGCGCTTTAGACTCCTAGAATTAGAGAGGGCTCTGTTGAGCACCTTGTCTAATCTTTTATTGTCACAGGAGAGAAAACTGCGGCTGAGAATTCTTGGTTCCATCTCGAAGTCCTCTGACTTCAGCTGGCTCCTAGGACCAAGCCCTGCAGAGGTGGCGCTCCTAATAAGATATTATGGAGAATCACTGTTGACCTTTTTCTGAAAGAAAGCACACACACAAAAAATAACATTATCATAGCTGTAGATATGGAAATGAAGCAATCTAGATAATTTAGGGACAGGCATTTGTGCTAACTTCACGGTCCAGAGAAAGAAGCATAGAATATCAGCTCCACGTTGCACTTCTATCATTTTAAACAAAGACTCTCAAACTATTGTTTGGTTGATGGGAAGGAAATGAAGCTGTAGCAAAATACTTTTGATATTTTAAAGAAGAAAATAAAAGCTTTAGATGGAAAGTGTGTGTGGTTTATTTGCCAGCCTGTATTTTTAGGAAGTACGAAGAGACCTCCAAGATGATGAATGAATCACGTGTAAGAGTCAGTCAAACCAGGCATTGGGGAGGGGCTAAGGCCCCCCGGCCCCTGCAGGTGGGGAGCCAAACCCTAGGTCTGGTGGGGCGGCGATCCTCTGCAGGGGTTTGCGCTTTGACCCTAAATGTACACTTGGGTGAAGGTTGCTTCCCAGGTTTAGGGGAACAAGCAGCATGATTGGCTGGGCAGAGGTTCAGGAACTCTTAACTATTCTTTTGGAAATTCCAACACAGGAGCCTCTATGGGTTTCTTCAACCAAGCCATTCGGAAGCACCAGAGGCCTGGTGTGGGAGCCCCGGGGACAGGGACTCCCTGTTCCCTCCCTGTCTCCCAGTCCCCTTCCATAGAAGCCTCCGAACTCAGGCCGTGTGGTGGGTGGCTATGCTGTGCTCCTTCCTTTGAAGCAAATGTAAAAAAAAAAAAAAAAAAAAAGTCTGGTACAGAGCTGGGCTTTAGGCCTATTATCTGTCAATCACCGAAGTGTTAATCAACCCAAGCAGAACTTAGTTGACAAGGGAGAGAAAGAAAAGTAGAATTCAAGTTAGGTGTCTGTAGACTTGTGGTAAGAAAATTGTTTCTCTCCCTTTCTTTCCTGTGCTTCAGAACCAATTCAGTAAAACTAAAAAGTTCTCAATCAATGTTTAAATTTTCCTTATGCAAAACATCAAAGCTTTACCGAGTCCTTGGATGGTGACAATGCACATTATTTTTGGTACTTTATTGACTTTGCATGGTAAATAGTAAAACCTGGCAGTAGAAACATTGAAATCTGGATGCATCGGGAAATAGAAGAGAAGAGTAAGCACTCTGGAAAGGGCTGGGCAGAGACGTGGTGCAGGGTGGGGTCAGGGTGGGCCTCAGTTCTCACTTGTAAACTGGGGATAATAATAGTACCGAGCTATCAAGTTGCCCTGAAGATTAAATATAATGCCATAAATTGGTTAAAAGCAAGGAAAAGAATGCAGTTCTATGCAAACACTTAAAAGAAAGCAGGAGAGGTTATGTTGCTATGGGGAGAGGAGAGCTCACAGAAAACAGCACCAGGCATGAAGAAGGATATTATATAAAGAGAAAAGGGTTGACGTGTACAGAAGACCCAACGATCATATGTGTGTGTGTCCCTAACAAGCGATCTAAGTGCCTAAGTTAAATCACTGGGAGAACCAAAGGGACGAATGCATGAGTCCGCACACCAGCTCTCTTAGTAATGGACAGAACGGTCACCAGGGCAGCAAGTACAGTGTAACAACCACCTGACTATGTACAAGGGCCTTGTATGATGTCCAAAAGGTGCAATGACAATAAGCACAAACCAACCCGGCCACTTTGATAAGCACAGAAAACTTGGCGTAACTGTAGCAGAAGACATATTCTTTTCAGTACAGATCCCACTGCAGGCCAGAGCACAAATCTCAGTCCATTTAACTGGGTTCAAGTAAAATATGCCAAATACGTTTCTTAGCCAAAATAAAAGTAAAAAAGAAATCAGTAACACAAAGATATATGGAAAAATTCTCAAATATTTAAAAATTAAGCAATATACTAAAACATAGCTCAAAGGACATATCATAATTGAAGTTACAAAATACTTTGGACTTAATGGAATAGAAACAGAACAATGAAATCTGTGGGTGCAGTGCCAATGTCTGGATGGTGAAATTATAGCAGGAAATACAGAACAAAGCCAAGTGTGGTGGCATATGTCTGTGCTCCTAGCACTCTGGAGGCTGAGGTAGGAAGAAGGCTGTGAATTGGAGGCCAGGAGAGGACTGCACAGTGAGTCCCTGTCTAAAACCAAAAAAGATCTTAAACAAACATCTTAAATGGGTGAGTCAAGGTTCAATCCTAAAAAATTTGAACAGAAGAGCGAATTGGACCTGAAGTAACCATAATGAATTCAATAGCAAAAATGAGAAAGAATCATAATAGAAAGCAGTAAAAAGAAAAGAAAATAAGTGGAGTGTGACATACTTCTTAGCAAAGACCAATAAAACTGATAACCCCGCAGCCAGAATAGGAGAGAAAAGATAACATACCAATGTTGAACATTTAAATAAGGGACATTACCCTAGTTCCTTAAAAAAAAGATAACAAAGGACTTATGAGTAATATTGTTTCAATAAAGTTTAAAAACTCAGGTGAATTATGTGAATTCTTTTGAGGTGGCAAACAATGAAGTTTCACTCAGGAAGAGGCAGAAAATCTAACCAGGGGCTGGGTGTGGTGTGTTTGCTTGGAAGGAACCCCAGCAAGCTGGGGGGGTGAGGTCAGCAGATGACAAGTTCATGGCCAGCCCAGTCTACTTAGTAACCTGCCTCGGTATGAAAGAAAAAAACACTGTACATGTAGCTCAGTAGACCTTGGCTTCAAACCTCTGGACCACAAAACAAGACACCAAAATAAAACCCTGACCAAACCAAACCTTGACCTGGCCCGCGGGTCAATCCGCGGGGTAACCACCTGGAGGAGGGAATGGGGATTAACATAGACAGGGCAAGAGACAAAGAGAGATGGAGACAAGTTGAGGAATTCCAATCAGGTCTTGTTTATTGAGGAAGTGGTTGCAGTTTTTATAGGGCAAGGGCGGGCCGGTGGGACAGGAAGAGGCTACGGGGTGATCTCTGATGGGTCATCCTCACGTCCGTGTGTGTGATGTGAACAGGAGAGGATCATGGTTGATGTAGGTGCACTATGTGCCCATATAAGGGAGAGGCAGGGAGACAGCAGTGGGGCGGTCGCGCAGCTCCCTACAAAACCTCCTATATCAACTTAGTTTATACCAGGAATTTGAGCTGATTTTTCAGCTTTTTGGAAGTGATCTTCTCTTTCCTTTTA